GAAGGTGAGAAAAGATAGGCTTGCAGTGGGCTAAGTAAAGTGGTAGGGATAGAAATGCCACCTGTCTTTTTGGGACGAGTGGAATTGAGGATGGAGAAAGATTTAGTTGCATCTTTGGCGAAGGAGCCAGGCTGCAGTGTTGGAGCAGAGTCATGATATGAGAACTACCTATTTCATGCTCTGATCCTGCAAAGACTCTGGAAGAACCATGTGTACACAGATTCAGAGATACTGTACATACTTCATTACTCCTGACTTTACAGTCCAAATCTACTTTTAGTGTTAATTTTATCAAAAAGTGTTTTAAGTCAACACATTAGTCAAATCAAAAAATTTGAGAAGAGCAGCTTTCTGACTTGCTAATCCATAAGCTTGACCCTGATTTTTAAAATTTACCTTTTTTTTTTTATTAATTCCCATCTGTGGTAACATGAGAATCTTAATTTATCAGATCTAGTAAAAGCAAATTTTACCATTGTGACTCCAGATTATCTTCATGTTTTTATTTAAAAATTTAGTCTTGTATTTCTGCTTCATCAGTTGAACCATTGGCAGGTCATTTCAGCTTTCAGTATATACTTCTGTTTAAATTGTACCTAGTTGGAAGGCCAATATTGTAATTTTAAATGTTATGATATTGATAGAGTACTATTAGGTTGTCAGAAAAGTTATGACTTTAAAAAAATGTTTTTCTATGCAAAAATGTATCATGACATTTTGAATAACCCTGTATTTTATGGTTTTCGACAATTGGAAATTATTTGATAGTTCCTTATAAGTCATCAAGAATCTAGTTTTCTCCCAATAACTTATATTCCTGTTCTAAAAGGGAATTCCACATAATTCAGAAAGGTGATTCTCCTATTACCATCTTCAGAAGCTTGTCTCTTTTGTAGAATACTCAGTTGGCATATGTTTTGCGGAGAAAAATAAGGAACTAGAAATCCTATGTGAAGTTGTCATCGAACAGTGTATTCCTGAACATGCTTAGAGATAGGTTCATCTGTGTGGAGTCTTAGGGATAATCTGATACAAGAAGCCATGGTTCCACAGGGATTCCTCAGGGACGTGCAAGTAGGGCTCTGGGACCCATACCCTGAAACCACAGCCACTCACTTTAATGGTTTCTATATTGTGGTTTGAGGGAAGAAGTAGTCTGTGTGAGATTTTAATTTGAAAGTAGGGTTTGCAAACAAAATGTAAAAATAAACATTATCATGAGAGAGAAGGCTCTACCATGCTTAGTAACGTGCCTTAGACCACCCCCATGTGGCTCTTTCCTTTCCTTTGCCTAGGTACAATGAATTTTAAATCTTATAGGGCTTTCTTTTATTTGATTTTTATTTGCCAGAGGGTATGTGCACTCAGTAGAGAGAGAGAGACAGACATAAGAGAGGGCGAGGGAGAAAGTACCCTCCCCCCAGTGGGGTGTGGTTACACTATAATTCCTTCTCCTCCATTCTGTCAGGATTTGGGACATGCATGCACACATGACCAGCATGATTTTCAAGGTGCCAGGGTCAGGATTGAAACCATTTGGTTGGCCATGGGGGATCCAGTTCACTTAACCACTAGGACACAGTGCCAGCCGGGCTGTCAGTTATAGCCAAAGTGAGGCTGTCCTAACCATTTCACAGAGGTGGCCATGCATCTTTTTATTTATTTTTTTAGAGAGATTTTTTTCTGTGTAGTGTGTGCTCTCACTGGAGAGACAGAGAGATACAGAGAGACAGAAAGTGAGAGATCACCTCCCCCCCTAGGGGGAATGGCCACACCTCACTCTCTTCTCCTCTAGTCTCCTCTAAGGATTTTGAGCATGCCTGAACACATGCCCAGTGTGAGTTTGAAGCTGCTAGGTCCTGGTCTTGAACCATGGCTGACCATGTGAGAGTCCAGGGATGTAACCATTGCTCCATCCTCTGGCCCCCATCTTTTTATTTAGTATGTTCAGAGACAGATTATATTCAAGGTAAGAACAGCCCTTTTGGGACAGTTTCCCTGGTCTAATAGAATTGTGAGACTCTTCCTTCTATGGCTTAAACTCATTCTCTTTTATCCAGTATTTGGTAGGAAAGGATAATGTCACTTACTCTCTTCCAGAGTTTTCTTTATGTAGTTTCAGACTATTTATTAAAACTTCATCTTGCCTTTTATTCTTCAAGCCAAAAAACTTCAATTAGTGTTTCAAGCATCTAACCCATCATTTACCTGTCTGCCCTTATATAGCAATATTCTGCACTTACTTGATTTTTAGTGATTCCCCCCCGCCTTGGTAAGAGTGGTGAAGATGACCATTTATTTTCATTGAGTCATCTCTGATTTAAGTATATGGTGGTTTTTGTTTAAGGAGTAGAACTAGCCAGTATTTTTTTTTAATTCTTAGCAGAGTTTTGTTATATTCTTCAGATTAGTTTATATCAGGCTGATAATGAATAATAATTAATAATAATAACAATGACTATATCTGATTTCATATTTCTAGTCCTTTACAAAGGGCCTTTTGCTGGAAAAGTTCCTGTACTATTAGCTACACTTTTCTGTTTTTCTTTTTTTTGGAGAGGTTTTTGCTATAAGGCATGTGTGCTCGCCAGACAGAGAGAGACAGAGAGACAGAAAGCGAGAAATCACCCCCTGGGGGGATGGCCACGCCGCAATCCCTTCTCCTCCATTCTCCTCTCGGGATCTTGGGCATGCACGCACATGTGCCCGGTGTGAGTTTAAGCTGCTGGGTCCAGGACTTGAACCGCGGTTGACTACCTGGGAGTCCAGAGTCATTGCCATTATGCTTACTGCTGGTCCCTCTTTCTTAAGTCATAATTATTTTTAGAGAGCAAGGATATTACCCAATTTATCTTTAGTATTTCCCAAAGTGTTCAGTACTGTCTAATAATCAAAATGCATGCATAATAAACGTATGTTGGGCAAATGAATAAGTAGTGTTAAAACACTTAACTTCTATGTTTCTCTGCAGCATAGTAAGTTCTAGATCTTTATTCCATGCTTTCCTTGCCTTTCTTTTAATTCTTATGTATATCACAGTTTTTCTCAGAATATTGTCACCTGGACATTAAAGTTGTTTCATGGGTGGAAAAACTTAGGCAGAAAGCTTTCCAAATTGCCCAGTTGACCCTAGGTTTGGGTTTAACTGTCAGTATTAAAATAGAAATTTGGTATATTTTCTTCTGGAGAGTAAAGAAGCTCAAGGAAATCAATCTCTCCTGCTCTCTCTCTCTCTCTCTCTCTCTCCCTTTCTTCCTCTCCCTCCCTTCCTTCCTTCTGTTTTAAACAGGCAAGTCTAAGTTCTTCATGATTGTGAAACAAAGAATTAATACACACTAGTCTGATAAATTCAGTATATTAAAATTCCTATCTATTGCTTACTCAAAACAAAATATGTAAATTATGAAAAATAATTAAGATTTTTATAGACACAATATACTATAAAACTTAAGACTTTTGGCTTGGAATATGGTTTTAGAAAGTCCTATGGTCCATCAGATGGTGTAATGATTAAGTTGCTGGACTCCTATGTAGTCAACAGTGGTTCGAGTTCCAGGCCTGGTGGCTTAAAACTCAGATCAAGTGCATGTGTGTACATGCCCAAAATCGTGAGAGGAGAAGGGATTGTAGCATGGCCATCCCCTAAGGGGGTGGTTTCTTGCTTTCTGTTTCTCTCTGTCTCTCTGGCGAGCACATGTGCAAAAATCTCTCTCTCTCAAAAAAAAAAAGAAAATCCTGTGAGGAGCCAAGTGGTGGTGCAGTGGTAATGCAACAGAACCCATATGAGGAAGGTCCTGGGTTTATGTCCTGGAACCTCCCTAAGCACACTGGGTATATATGCACGTGTCCACGATCTGGGCTAGCTGACACTGGGGGTGGATCACGGTGTGAGGGTTTCTCTGGGAGAGCTAGTCATGCTCTGTGTTCCTCTCTCTCTGCCTCTTTATCACATGGAAGAAATCGATAAATAACCTTATAAAACAAACAGCAAGAAAAGGGGCTGGCCCTGCAACCTACTGATGAAGGGAACTGAATTCCATATGACCAACCAAATGATTTGAATCCTGGCCTTGGCAGCTTGAAAATCATGCTGGGTGTGTGTGCATGCATGTCCAAATCCTGACAGGAGAGATTTCAGCATGACCACACCTCATTGGTCTTTCCCTCTCTCCCTGTATCTCTCTCTTTCTCTCTCTCTCTAGTGAGTGCACACACCCTCTGGTAAATTAAAAAAAAAAAATGAAAGAAAGCCTTGTGAGATTTAAAATTCATTGTTGTGTATGTAGAGGTTAAAATATAATTCTACTTTTTGTCCAAGAGGCTGTCGTTCTTGGGCGTTTAGGGGTGGATGTTACTTCAAGGAGGTCTCAACAGGGATGTTCCTAGATCTTGGTGGGTAGGTCCTCACAGATGACATACTAGTGCGTTTTGCTAGCAGCCCCCCCTTTACCACTGGATCCTTACATAGAAGTTGAGCAAGCAAAATGCCTTGCCAACTTCCAGATGCCACAGGGGGATGGAACCAGTGCTATGCATGATATTAAGAGTCAAATTATGTGTTTTTGAACAACTTGAAATGATTTAGCTAAACATGCTGAGTGCTGGAGGTAATTTTTTGAAAAGTATGACAACATTTTTAACATAAATAATTTAAATCACTGTTTCATTTCAGAGTGATGAATAAAATAGTTTGTAAATTAGACTGGATTGTATGGTGGTCAAAAGCCTAACTAAGCTATTTCAGTGGGCAACTGATTTGTAGTATTAATGTGAAAAAGACCTTTAGATGATAGGATTTTCTGTATTTTAGCAGAAAAATAGACTTGATGATATAAAGAAGTGATAGTTTTACAAACCTCCAGGAAGAAGGAATGAAGTTTCTGGTTTGTCATCACATAATTCGAGTGTATCTTGCATGTAGCCTCCCTCCTCTCATAGATAGACTTTCCTCCTGTGGGTGCCAGGGACACTTGATACAGCGTTTCATGTTTTGTTTTCAGGATCAGTTCAGCGATATGAGAATAAGCATAAACCAGACTCCTGGGAACAGTGTCGACTTTGGGTTTACAGTAAGATGGAGTTCTTCTGGGATCTTTATAGCATCAGTTGAAGCAGGTAAATCATACATTTAGCTCTCCTGAAATTTCTTCTTTGTTATCCTCTGCTGTGTGTTTGTGGGAGTAGGGTGTGAAATCAACATAGTTTATTTGATATTGGTGGAGAAAATGTGTGAAAAAATGCAGCAGTAAATCAAGGAGATACATTCTCTTTCCTGAGGCTATTTGTTGAAATTACAAATCACATATTGTTTATTCTCCTTGCCTAATTATATAATATCAGTTTTGAAGAGTGCTAATTTCGTGACTGTATGGACCTTTTCAAAATTTTAGGCTTAATATTTGGAAAGCTAACAAACAGTAATTAATTAAAGAGTCAAAAAGAACTTTCCATGATCAGCTATATTTTGTGGTAGACAGAGGTGCTGTGTAATAAGACATTGTATTTTAAAAATATTTTTGGGGTATTTATTTAATTTTATTTATTATTGTTATTATTATTAAATATGCGATAAGACACATGTGCACACAAGAGACAGAGAGAGAAAGAAAGTAAGTCACCAGTTCCGGGACTTGAACTGCAGTCAGCCATGTGGGAGTCCAGTGCCTTAAATACCACACTACCTTTTGGCTCCTCAATGTTGTATTTTTGAGCATCCGAATTTTCTATTGCCTATGAAGTCTTCAGAGTGCTTTGAGACTTATGCAACGGATTTCTTCTTCCCCACTAGGGTAACACCAAACCCACAATAATATATAAAAGCTATCATATTTGAGAAGAAGGTCTCATATACATATTTTAAGTGTATAAAATTGATTATGAACACTGGTAATTTATTTTATATTTTAAGACTCTTCTAATTAAATAGTGATATCTTAGCTATAGCAGTACGTTTATGCAGTTCTAAGGAGCCATGTTTGCGTCTGTTCCATTACAGACTACATCTGATTTGGAAGCTCAGTTACAGCGCAATGTATTTTACATTTTTAATTGAAAGATAGTTTTCTTTTTGTCCTATAGAAGTTAATAAACAAATTATATCACACTGATGGGCTTAGCATTTCTCTCTTAAATGGAAATGCAGATGCAAACTATAGCCTTTGGACCTTTGGATGTTATAGATACTAAAATATTTGATATCTTAAAAAAATTGAGTGACTCTCTTCACCTGAAAAATAGGAGCAACAGTTGTGTTTAAAAGCCATTTTTCTTAAAGAATGAAGTAAAACTTTTTTATTTGATTTTTCATTTACTTTGCATTATTTAGGTAGTCCAGCAGAATTTTCTCAGCTACAAGTAGATGATGAAATTATTGCCATTAACAACACCAAGTTTTCATACAAGGACACAAAAGAGTGGGAGGAAGCCATGGCTAATGCCCAGCGCACTGGAAACCTTGTAATGGATATCAGGCGCTATGGGAAGTCTGGTAAGTCAGTTTTACCACCAGATGTGGCTTTTTGAATTGGGAGCAGGCCTTTAGCAAGTGGTTATAACAATTGGCTTCAATAACTTCTTTTTAAAAAATATTTATCTACTTACTTTTGGCTTAAATGTGTTTTATCATTATGTTGTGACGAATCTTGGACAATACCTCCTAGAACCTTCTGTCTGAACACTTCACTAGCAAATTTACTGAATTCTACCTTATAAATAAACAGAGTTATCAAAATATCAACCAAAGGTAAATATATCTGCTTTTAAGAGCCATTGATAATGCTGAATATAAAGAATTACACTATGATCTAACTTTCTCTACAGCAGCATCACCATTCTGATATCCTCAAAGAACTATCAATAGGTACTCCATCACTGTGTTTCTTAATTATTGAGGTTAGGTGGGGAAGGGTAGTCAACCTGGCCAGACCTACCCACTTAGGACATTAAAGTATTACATGTAGTCTGGTTCATGAAAGGATTCAGCAAATTTGCCTTTCTTTTCATTACTAACATGGCTTAACCCTTCTATTGTGGGAAGTTGGTCTGTTGGTAAAAGCTCTGAACTCATTTCTTTCACACTACCTAATTTGTTTGTCTTGTGTATGTGCATTTTGTATATGTGCATTCAGTAACTTTGTTCTTTCCACTTCAACATTTACCTGTCCTCCCTTCTTGATCTCCATGTGCCAATCAGACTGGGGCAAAGACCAACCTTCCCTGCCATTTATACAGCATAAAACCCTCAATCTCACCAGTATGGCTACCAAAATTATAGGTGCACCTGAAACAAAGTGGATCGATGCAACCTCTGGGATTTATAGCTCAGACAAGTCTTCAACTCTATCAGTTACTACTGATTTCTCCGAAAGCCTCCAGAGTCCTGTAAGTATTTTTAGAAATGGGAGTACTCGTGTAGAGCAAAACACCTGTAAAAATTGCTGTGGAGAAAAGAATTTACTTTGTTTGGCCAATTTTAATACTACTTTTAAAAAGCATAAATAATTCTGGACCAGCAGCTAGCATACTGGCTATGTTGCTGGACTCCCATGTAGTCGACGGTGGTTCGAGTCCTGGACCCAGTGGCTTAAACTCACTCCGGGCATGTGTGCGTGCGTGCCCAAGATCCCGAGAGGAGAAGGGATTGTGGCGTGGTCATCCCCCCTAGGGGATGATTTATCGATTTTTATCTCTCTGTCTTTCTCTGTTTTTCTGGCGAACGCACGTGTCCTATAGCAAAAACCTCTCCAAAAAATAAATAATTTAATAATTTATAATAAAGAGAGTAAAATAAATATTTGAAAGCCACAAGGCATTACTCATCAAGAGTAATAGTGAGTTATACGGTGACAGAATCAGGACATCTCAAATGTTTGCGGATGTTTTTCACCAATCTTCCATCCTCATACCCATCTCTCAGATATTTGTAATGTGAATTAGCAATTATGTAAAATTATACACTGTAATTTCTCTGTGTTCGCTTCCCTCCTCCGGTGAAATAGATGTAATAATTGTGTGTAACATAAAAATTTCATCACATACTTTTAGTTGTTGTGCAGGTGAATTTTATAGGTAGAATTATGTCTGTGGTTATTAGTTGAAAAATAGAATGTAGAAATTTTTCTGTGTCAAAGCAAAATTTTTTCATTTAGATTTTGAAAATCATAGTTTCTACTTCTGATAGGACTTGTCTGTTTAAATTCATTATATAACTTAAACTTCCAATCATATATGGTACATTTATATTGGCTTCCTAGATAATCATTATTATGATGATGATGCTAAGGTACCTTCTTTTATTTAATAAGGAGATTTTGCTACATTATGCAAGAAAGATTTAAATGTTAGAGAATACCGTATGACTATTTTATTTACTCATAAATATAAGCCAAATAGGCTAATGGTTGTTTGGCTCATTGCATTTCTTGGATAATCAATGACTGATTAAACTTAAAGCTATCCATGCCTGCAGCTGATTGTTAAACCCTTCCACCAATGTTGAGATGAATTAAAGTTCCTATTGCATGTAAAAGACTGTATGGAATGCTTCAGCAACCTGAAAAACTCATCTTCTTAGAAGATATTTTCATTAATGAGAAATTCATTATTTAAATCCAAAGTCTAAGTGAATACTAACTAGAATTTTTAAACCTTTCCAGAATACTGAATCCAAAGAAATCAATGGAATTCATGATGAAAGCAACACTTTTGAATCAAAAGGTAAATGTATCCACATTAACTTACGTTTCTTATATAGGAAAAGTCCTAACAGTCCAGTTCTGTTGTTAGAAAAATTAATATCTGTGAGTGAAAGAAAAGCTGATCCGCTGCAAGTTGACACTAAAGGGTTAGCACTCAGATCCAGTTGCAACCAGGTGGACCGGTGTTCAGTTCCAGCGCTGACTAGTTCAGGAACTGCAAACAAAGCTTTGGCAGCATGCTCTGGAGTGCCCAGTGCCTGTGTGCCTAGCCAAATAAGAAAGTCTGGTTTTCCTGAGGCCATCAGCTTTCTTGCTATCGCATGCTGGCAAAGGGAGTCTTAGTTAAACATGAAACGGTGAATGAAGTTTCCCTTTCCCCTTTACTGTTGTGAAAGGGACAGGCTTGGAGGCAGCTAGGCTTAATAGGGAAATGCCAGTGGCAATAACAATTGTTAGTGGACATACCCATTTGTAATGAAAGAGAAGGCATGGTACCTAGGAAAAATTTAGATTTATCACTCCCTTCTGCTCGCCCAAGTAATATAAAGACCACGCCATTTCTTGGATATACAGAATAAATAAGAATGATCTGGTCCACAGAGTCAGTGAAAGAGACCTGGAGAAAATGAAACTTATTTTACTGTGAAACTAGATCTTTGAAAATGGATGGGGTTGGATTTTCACAGTGCTTTGATGACTTTGAATTTACATTTTCTAATTTATAATAGATTTTACCAGAGCCAATCTAAGTTTATGAATTCCCTTTCCCTCACTGTTTATCTTTGTATTTCAGTTGTAATGGAAGTGACTACACTATAATATTTTTTTTTAGAGAGAGATTTTTAGGGTGTGTGTGCTCACTAGAGAGACAAAGAGATAGAAAGCAAGAGATCACTCCCCCCAGGGGGGGAAGGGGGATGGCCATGCCACAGTCCCTTCTCACGCACCCATCATGAGTTTTAAGCCCCTAGGTCCGAGACCTGAACTGTGGTCAACTATGTGGGAGTCCAGCAATGTAACCATTATGCCATGTGCTGTTCCCTGTAATTGTTTTAAGTTGCCTCCTGTATTAAAGTAGTGTTGTTATTTTTTTTTAAGTTTATTTATTTATATCTTCGGAGAGAGGAGCAAGGGAGATGCAGAGAGACAGTCAGGCACCCCTAGGGTCTTAGCTGGCCAGGGTCCAGGGCACGTGTGTGCACGGCTGGCATGCAGACAGAGGTACTGGGATGTGAACCCAGGATCTTTCCCATGTGGGTTTGGTTGGTTTCCAGTTTTCTGCCACCTGTCCTTATTAAAGAGGGTAAGACAAGGGTTGCTTTTTTTTTTTTTTTATGATGCTATTAAATCTAAGACAACTGGGTCTTTTTCTGCAATGTTTAGCAGAAACAACTAAGATACCTGGGTTACTAACTATGGGGGACTGTGTACAGGCTCTCTCATCAAAAGGTTTTATTTAGATAAGTAAGCACCAACCTATCTCAAATAATAATTGCATTTGATGCCATAGTCCTGTGACTATCTGTGAGAGATGTCAGAATATGTTTTCTTTTTCACTGAACTTTATTTGCTTAAGCTGTAGTTAATACTACAAATTTGAAAACTAGGGTAAAACATTCTAGTTAGAAGAATATTTTAATTTTAGTATTTTTATATCTTTCTTGGGTATCATTGATTTTATTTGTCTGATTACTTTTCAATATTTATTTATCAGTGCCGAGAGAATGTGTCATTACAGACAGTTCTACTTGCACTACACAAGAGTTTGGATTGATTAAGCAAAAAGTGTTCATTTCTGTATCTGTAAAACTGGGCGATCTAGCATGGAAGATTGCCCATTGGCTTTCAGAGCTGTGAAGCTAGGATGCTATCTGCTAAACTTTGTTAATAAAAAGATTTGTTCCTTTTACTAATTTACATGTAATTTATAGACTACTAAAATATGTGTTTCTATGTGCCTCGAAATAATCCATATTTTCCATGGCTATCAGCTTTGTCATTTTAAAAATAATATTGCTGCAGATTGGAAAGGTATACCAAGAATCACTTAATTTACCAGTGGTGAGAAATGAAAACTAATGACATGACTTCACTGATTTTTTAATTTTTTATTTTTCAACTAGCATCTGAACCCATTTCTTTGAAAAACTTAAAAAGGCGATCACAATTTTTTGAACAAGGTAAACTCCAAAGCTGACAATTCATGTACTTTCATGGAATTGTTCTCCTTCCACTCTTCCTCATGGTCTGTGGTGTTGGTTACTGAACCTCTTCAGTTTGGCTGTCGTTATGACAAGCAACATAACCCATTTCCATTCTTTCCCTAGGGTCATCAGGCTTTTCTTACAGTTCATGGGTCTACCTCTGTGGTAATGGGGCTTTGCGTGTCCTTTGTATACTTCTAAAGGCTTATTCATTTATTTTTTTAACTTTGTATAAAAACTGAGATGCTGTTAAATACACCCTTCTTTCCACTGGGTAACAGTAAGAAATGAGGAATTTCATTTAAGCCTTACTGCTTCCTACAAAATGCATAATATTAAATTACACCAACATACCGTTGGCCAACCTTTAATGGCTTTGGCCTGTTCTTAGTTATAGAAAATTCTCTTCATAAAGAACAGAGTTACTGATTGCTTTTGGGATGGTGACTTTGGAGTGTCGATATGACTACTCTCTTGACGTTGAAGTAAATTCAAAGTAAATAAATAAATTTGGTTGGACCTGAGAAGAGGTGCGTTTTTGAGATCCTTCGTGTTGGTGTAGTTGGGCCGAGCTGCCTCACGCTGTGCGGTGCATGTGGTGTTACCTCCCCTTTCACGTTTGTCTAATGCTCTGTCTCCTGAATGCTGTTCCAGCTCTGTGTTTTGCTATGAAGATCTTAAAAGTAATAAATATCTGACATTTGAGATGCAATAGAGGAGATTGTGCTGTTGCTGTCTAAAATGTTATTGTGTTTTTACTTTTAAGATTATTGAAAAAATTTTCAAACTTGCCTTATAACACAGTACTTCCTGGTTTTGTGTACTCTGCGTGAATCACCTAGCATTCTTCTTTTAGTGAGTGGAAGTCCTATTTTGTTCAGAAATAGCTTACCAGTTATGCATGTTTATTTGTGTCAGTATCCTTAGTGTTTTTTATTAAACTCTTTTAAATACCTATTTAATTGAAACAATATGATATGCCTAGCCCGAATTCTCTAAAAATAAAACAACTTCTTTCTCTATTCTAATTCCCTCTCACTTTTCTTCAGCAGCTATTTTAGGGAAGAGTTTTTTTCTAAGCCTTAAAGCTATTTTCTTAAAAAAAAAAAAAGTGATATAAATGAGTCATTTATTTGACAGCTGAGGCTTCAGAAAAATTTGAAAGTACTGCATAAGAGTGTATTTCCTGAAATTTTACTTTTAAAAGAATAATGTATACAGACAGTGACATTTAAGAAGTTCCCCTTAAGGGAACTTAAGAATAAAAGAATAGGACAATGTCCATGAGTTTACACATTAAGTTGAACATTTGTATTTGAGGAATAGAGAGGAATGGGAAGTGTTTCTTGAACATGTCTGTTACTAAGGTGGCATGTTTATGAAAAGTTAGCTCATTACAAGAAGGCCAGAAGAAAGGTGACTTGCAGCTGTCACACGGTAATTGAATGGTGGCAAGTAAAAAATTGGATCTGGTTGACATTGTAACATTTGAAATTCTTTCTTTTTTCCCTGTATTAGGGAAAAAGAGATGCTGTCCAGTTTATTAATAAAAGAACCCCTAAGCCTCTTTAGAAATAGCCATTGATCGATCTCAAGTACTAGAGCTAGGGTTGACCTTGCCATCATAGTTTATCTTTTTCACTGACTTTGAATTTAGAAGATGAGGAACAGAAGGGACTGAAGAGGAAAAGAATTTCCTAATTGTTGTTTCAAAAAGCCTTGCTGTCACTTAGTATATTGGCGTAGAGACAACCAGTGATACAACTTTCTGAAAGGGATTATTTTATAGAAATGAAAAGGCTGACATATGTTTTTTTTCCCTCTTTGCCCATGTGCTGCAATGCAGGAAGCTCTGATTCTGCGGCTCCTGATGTAAGTAGCATTCATTTGTAGTTTGGAATAAGGAAAGCAAACTGGGTGGAACAGAATTAGTACTAAGTAGCCTTGCTCGTTTTCTTACTAAGTTATATAAGGTGTGTCATAAGTCAAAAAGACTGATTTTGAAGCAGAAAGCTGTATCTTTCCTGATACAGTTTGAATGAGGTGTGATGTGAATAACTCATAGATGTGATTGTGGTTCAGTAGATGACTTCACAATTTTATGCTGTTCTGTGTTCACCTCCTCACTGATAACTGCCTAGCTTCCAGTTCCAACCCTCAGTGCCCCAAGTCGCTGGGCATGGGATCAAGAGGAGGAGCGGAAACGGCAGGAAAGGTGGCAGAAAGAGCAGGACCGCCTACTGCAGGTAATACCTGTGATGTGGAGGGTGGGGAGTTTGGCTTGTGAGTGGCTTTTCTCTGGGCTGTGACAACCAGTGTTGAAAGGCAAATTAAATACCAAAACCAAACATAGCCTCCCTGTCTCTTAACTAACAATTTTTTTATATGTCGCACATTCTTGCATTAAGCAATTTTTTAAAAAAATTTTCCCTTTTATTATTATTTTTTATTTCATTTTCTTCCATACAATCAATCACATTATTATTTGTCTTACAAAATGGATATTTAAACAGGTGAAGCATTAAGCAATTTTAAAATTTCTTCATTTTTTTTTCCATGTGAGAGAAACAGAGACTAAGAGAAGAGAGACAGATTCCCCCAATTGGATCTTCATGCCATCATCCACACCCCTGCCTCAGCCAGTCCAGGTCATTACTCATGTGCCTCATGTGTGTACAGGGAGGCTGCTGGATGTGAACCCAGGACCTTCCCATATGGGTTCAGCATTGCAGAGCATTGCATTACTGCTGGACTAACAACTGGCCCTACTTTTACATTTAGAAGATATCCAGTGTCAATCCTTTACATCTATTATTTCTTAATTCCTTTGTATGTCTTTAAGGAGTATAAAAATTACTCTGAGTGAGAGGTATATAGCCATTGTGAACTTAGTTCCTATAAGTTTATTATGTCCATTGCTGAATTATTTAGTCCCCTTAACAACTAGCTAGAGTCATTAATGAACTACAGCCATGGTAAAGGGTGGAGATCAGTTTCATTCTGAGTGTCTACACTCCCCTTACATTTGCATTTTTAATTTAATATAAGCTCTTTGTTACTTTAGGTACTAAAATCTGGATAATGTGAAAACAACATCGTCATTAATGGTTAACATCTAGAGTAGTGGAAATACTAATGAAAAGAATTCCTTTTAACATGAAAAGTTAAGCTATTGATTAAATGATATGCCATGTTTTCTTATAGGAAAAATACCAACGTGAGCAGGAGAAACTGAAGGAAGAGTGGCAAAGGGCTAAACAGGAGGCTGAGAGAGAAAACTCCAAGTACTTGGATGAGGTAAAGTTAGAACACACCTTTTAGTTCTCTGGTTTTGCTTTACCTTGTTGGTAAAATAGGCCGAGAAGTGGAGACACTTTACTTCTTTTCACTTTGGGCTGTACATTTATTTGGTTAGCTCTTTGAAAAAAGAGCTAATTGTGATATTTAAGCCTTTCTCCTTTTTTTTTAAATTGCGTCATTAAATTATTATATCAACAGAACTTAAGTGCATCTTTCTATTCTCAGTTACATCTCAATAACTTGAGAATGGCATTTTTAGTAATAAAAAACTTTTTTTTAAGAGAGATTTTTTGCCATAGGGAGTGTGCACTCTAGAGAGAGAGAGAGAGAGAGAGAAATCACTCTTGAAGGGGGATGGCCACACTGCAATCCCTTCTCCTCTAAAGATTTTGAGCACACACACATGCATAACCTGTGTGAGTTTTAAGCTACGAGGTCTGGCACTCAAACCAAAGTCTAAATCTTGTGGGAGTCCAGTGACATAACCATTATGCCACCCGCTGGTCCCAGTAATAAAAAACTCTTAACTTTTTTTTTTTTTTCTGAGTGAAATTCTGGACCAACGGCAGTTCAGTATCATGGAAAATGGAATGTATATGTGTTTATGTGAAATCACAGAGATTTAGATGGATCCTTTGTTCCCTGGCCCCCTAGGAACTGATGGTCCTAAACGCCAACAACATCTCCCTGACCACACGGGAGCCCACGGCCCCTACCTGGGACGCCACTTGGGACCAAGGGTCCAAGTCTTCAGACAGGGAAGGAACTCGAGCAGGAGAGGAGGAGGGAAGACAACACCAGGAGGACACGATTTCTGAACACCAAAGGCAGAGGCTGCAGGAACAGCTCCCTCTTGAGAGAGAGAGGAAACCGCAAGAGCAGCCGCATCAGGATGAGCAGGAGCAGCAGCAGCGCCAGGCCCAGGCTGAGGAGCAGAAGCGCCAGGCGGAGAGAGAGAGGGAGACTTCAGTCAGGATATACCAGTACAGGAGGTCTGTCCCAGGCTGAGGGCCACGAGGGACTTTAAAGAGCGTGGCTTAGCTCGATCCACCCCTGCTCCTGGCCATCCACTCTGCATGGTGGACACAGCGCAGTGGGACCTTTAAGTCATAAACCCGATCGTGTCTCCTGAATTCCCTGCTCAGACCTCTCCAGCCAGCTTCCTGTCACATGAGCACACACCCACTGTCCTGTCATAGCCTAGGAGCCCTTGCCTTCCTCTTGGTGGCCCCTGCCCTGCCCTGACTCAGTTGTTCCAGCCACTCTGGCCTCCCCTTTTTCCTTGAAAATGCTCAACTCATTCTGCCCTTGGATGTTTGCAGTTTCTGGTCCCCCTGCCTGGAGGTCCCCCCACACATTTGTGTCTTAATAGTTTTTTCCAAGTTTCTACTTAATGTCTTCTTCTTAGGCTTTCCATAGTGCCAGATCTCAAATACAGGTTGAGCATCCCTAGTCCCCAAATCCAAAATCTGAAAAGCTTCAAATTCCAAAATGTTTTGAGCACCAACATGATGCCACGAAGGGGAAATTTCACACCTGACTTCATGTAATGGTCACAGCGATACAGAAATATCATATCATATTACCGTCAGGCTGTATGGAGGAGGTGCATGTGAAATGAATACATTTTGTATTTAGACTTAGGTCTCATCCTCAAGATATTTCATTATATATGTGCAAATATGCCAAAATGTGAAGTACTTCTGTTTCCAAGCATTTCAGATAAAGGATACTCAAGCTGTACATGCCTTTCCTCACCCCCTGCCCCACCCTGTTTTATATTGTATATTTATTTGCTGGCCTGTCTACCTCAGTGAAATATTGAGTGCCAGGAGGCAGAAAGTGTTTTGTTCATTTCTGTAGCCCAGTCCTAAAACAGTACCAGGACATGGAACCCTCAGCATATAGGAGGGGACTTCAAGAAATTCCTGGAAAGATAAAATTAGTGTACAAATTTATTTGGAACCCCATCAAATTGAAATCCATACATATGTATTTTTTAATAGGATTTCCTGTGAACTTTTGAAGACCCCCTTGTACTTAAGGGTCTGTTTTCTGCAGTAATTGGCTACAATACCTCTATGTGTTATTAACCCAGATAACGTTTGTATAAAAAGACTAGAATAACATTATCTTGGAATTCTTTTCTTAAGCTTAGGTAGGTCCTTAAAGTCTATTATTTTAACTAGAAAACTGTTTTCCTTCTTTTAGGCCTATTGAGTCCTATGATATACCAAAGAGAGAGGAAGAATCTTCAGGTTTTCTTCCTGGTGACAGGTGTGTAGAACAATTCATTGTAAGTCCTGAGTTTGCCTACCCAAGTTGTGGAAATACTGTAGCTTTTGCCATTCATGGGATACTACATGAAGTTGCTGTTTGATCTTTTGTTGTTAGCTTTTTCTGTGTCACCTCTTCATTTAGTGCCTTTGCGTATGAGCTCAGCTCAGTTGGGCAGTGTATTTCAGTTGACCAAGCTCCCTCATGCATCTGCTACCAGTTAACTAGGCAGCTCAGCTTTTGGGGTTGGCTGTCTGTCAGCCGGGACAATGAAAGCAGCTGGGCCATGTGTCTCTCAATATCAAGTGAATCAGAGGAGTCCTCATACACAGGACTTGGGCGAGGAAAAGAGAGAATTAAACAGAGGAAGCCTGAAAGGCATCCTTGTCTAAAGTGAAATTACAAGGCTGGCTTAAGTTCATGAAGAAGAGAGAAATGTTGCCTCTTTATGGGAGGAGTCACATTGCCAGGAAAATGGGCACAGACAGGAGGAACGGTGTCCGTTACCTTTTCTGCAATCTACTGTAACCTTTATTTTATAAAGGTTATGAGCAATGGTTTATTATTACCAGTCTCCCCAACCCCCAAAGGGTTACATCTGGACATTGTGAAATGAGAATTATGACCTTTGTTTTAAACAGTTTGGCTGGAACTATTGGTGTTTTGGACATGATAAGTTTTCAAATATCTGAAAAGTTATATATGTCTTAAAATTTCCTAAAATCTGAAATTTTAATATTTTAATGTAGTTTTAAAAGAATGCTTTGCTGAGTTAAAATCACTAAGGACTCTATAAATATCTAGCATCCGATCATTAACTTTTGTTTTCAGAACGGAAATTTCTTATTTTATTTTAATTTCTTTTATACATTTAATCACTATACATCATTTAGCTTGACAAGTGAGTTTTCCAACATTAGTACACTTTACACCAGTCCAGTTGAGTATACTATACACATTATCATCAACAGATAATAATCCATTTCTGTGTCCCATAAATGTCTTGCCTCTCTTCTACTATAAAAAGTTTGTCTTATTTATTTGATGTAAGAGAGATTTGTATCTCTAGGTAGCCAGGATGACTAAAAGGGTTCGGAGTAGAAAGTGAAAAGGAATGGAATAACCAGGTAGTAATGGGCTTTAATAAGCCAAGAAAAAAAAAATTCTAGCAATACATGGCCTTGTTTATAACAAATTTCTTTAGGTAACTATAAATCACTGGAATGCTTCTCTTTTAAAACCAAAGGTAAATGTATATACTTAAAAAATACTAGCTCAATATCTTAGAGAAAATAATTAAAATATAGAGAAAATAAACTTAAGTGCTGGAAATATGAAATTCTTCTACCCAGAGGCATAAAGGAGAATGTCTAGACATCTGGTAATAAAACATTTTCTTACATGTAAATGTAGGTGAAAGAATTCAGGAATACAGCTGTCTACCAGCTGTGATACATTGTTACATATTTGTGGTTTATAGTATTGTATATATACAGATTTACATTGTCTACATAGGTATACAATGAACCCTGGTCGGCCATGAAAAACTGGCTTTCTCTGCACAGCATTTAATCACTGTGCTACAGGGTTAAACAAAGTGATTATTCTTTCTTTTTTAAATTTATTTTATTTTATTTATTCATTCATTTATTTTTAAAATTTGACCAGAGCAAGATGAGAGAGAGAGAGAAAGAAAGCAAGCAAGCCACCAGGTCTGGGACTCGAACCGTGGTTGGCCATGTGGGAATGTCCAGCACATTAGCCACCACAGCACTTGCTGGTCCCCAAAGTGACTATTATTTCTGATGCTCTCTGTGCCTAGTAGAAATTGAGATCAACACATGTGGATTATTTTCATTTGACTGTACACAGTGGTTTCCTGCCTCTTTGGAACACTGGGACAGCATTTAATATTAGGTCATCAGGAAAGTCATGACATCTTTCTATGCAGAAATAGATCATGACTTTCCCGAAGACCCAATAAATTCCTGTTCTGGAGCAATCAGTGATAGTCCAGTGCCCAAGATGTCCCATCATCACCCTGGGGCAGCATGGAAGAAGTGGGACAGTCTGACTTTAGGTGATGTGATGGACTGAGATCTGGAATAGAGTGAACATTGACAAAACCTGGTTTATCATCATCTTAATCGTTACATCAGCTGGAAGAGTGCTGCCACATCTTTATTTCTCATTCTATTGGGTTGTTGGGAAAATCCTGATGCATTTTCGCATAGAAAAAAATGTAGGAAAATATGTCATGACTTTCCCAACAGTGTAGTAGATCTCACTCTGCTCTGCTTTAGGAATATTGCTGTTTTTCTGATAGTTTATACAATGTGAAAAATTCCTTGGTTTAGAAATAATTATAGCTCTCAACAGGTGTAGAAAATTAATCAGCAGCTTTGAAAGGCAACCTCAGTGTTTCTATTTGTTTGTTTGGTTGGTTATAGGGCATGTGCATTTGCCAGAGAGGTTAAGTGAGAAATCACCCCCTGGGGAGATGGCCACTCTGAGATCCCTCCTCCTCCTTTCTCCCCTCGGGATTTTGGGCATGTACTCACACACGTCAGGTGTGATTTTTCAAGCCACTGAGTTTAAGATTTGAACTGTGTGGTCAGCCATGTGGGATCCAGCAGCATCACTCTCCACACCACCTACTTGCTCTCTTTTAAAAGTTTTTTTACTTCAAAACTATGAAAAAGATGTTATTAATGAGACCTATTTAATAAATTGTGTTCTGTGTTTTAGGAATAAATCTAAATCTACCGAACTGGATGATTACTCTACAAATAAAAATGGTAAGTGTGATTTTTATTTTTATAACTTCCTCAGCACAACTACTTATCATGTGCTTTAGTCAGTATTTTTAAGGTCAAGCTATTTCAGATATATTAAGATTATGTAATTTAAAAACTTATTATTTTTTGTCATCTGCATATAAAAATAACAAGACAACTATCTTAGGCTTATTTTGGCTTTATTTTATAATGGAAAGATTACTGGAAGATTGAAATAGTTTTTAAATAGCTAATGAAAAATGTGGGAATTTTGCAACATAATGCTGATGCAGTTTTCAGTAGATTTCATCTTACAACTAAGAAATGGGATAGAAAGTATTTCTGCAGAATACCAGGAGACTTAAACTTTCTATATGAACTTGAAATTAAACATTTAAATGTCAAAATATATTCTAAAATATCTATAATGATTTCACTAACTTCACAAAACCAGTTTAGAACCTGATGTTAGTATGTTTATGAGGAGTGCATGTAACAAATTATATATAACTAAGGAGAACTCCTCTGAACAATTAGCATCGTTTCCAGTCGAGTTTACTTGTGAGAGTTTGCTAGTAGTCTGGTTATGTAAATGAATGAAGTTGTGGGCAGGGGCTGAAGTGGATAGATGTAAGCTCCAGCCGGTCACTGAATGTAAGACTCTGATTACCACCTCTTTCTATTGTAAAAGAGAAGTCTTTTTATCTTTCTGTATGTCTTTTAGGTACTGATAGAGAATTTAAACTAAATAAATAAATAGAATCCTTTTTGACCAAAACAGCATATCTACTGGCCAAACTGGTCTAGGGCAGGTTATGTGTCACCTTTGGTTAAGGCTTCTAGAATTAGTTTCTTTTAGAATTCAGGATTCTATGATTGCCCCTCCCCATGAACTTGTGGGATCTTCCATTATCTGGTTCTGGTTTAGTTTTCTAGCCTGTTTTGCTATGTTTCCCTTTAGGAACCTCGAATATAACCGAATTGTTCCCTCTTCAATTCCCAACTTATCACATACTTTTTAATCTAGTTCCTCTGATCTTAACCTTCTCCTCTTGGGAATCCCTATTTCTTCTCCCGTGAACTTGCCCCTAGTCATCACTAAAATGATATTTTAAGTACTTCAATCATCTATACTTTTTTTTTTTTTTTCAGTTTTGCTATGGAGTACATATGCTCACCAGGAGAGAGAGAGGTAGAGAGAAAGTGAGAAATCATCCCTGTCGAGGGTGCAGCTATCCCCTCTCTTGTATTTTCCTCTTGGGATTTTGGGCACATGCACACACATGCCCATTGTGATTTTCAAGTCACTGGGGCCAGGACCTGACCTGTGAGGTTGGCCATATGGGATCCAGCACCTTAACCTCCATGCTGCTGGCTGGCCCCACCCATGAATTATTTTTGGCCTGCAGTTATTTATTTATTTTGAGAGAGATTTTTATTATAGGGTATTATGTGCTCACCAGAAAGACAGAAAGAGAAACAAGAAATCACCCTCCATGGGGATAGCCATGCTGCAATCCCATCTCCTTCGTTCTCCTCTTGGAATTTTGGGCATGTAAAAACACACCTGGTGTGAGTTTCAAGCTACTAGGTCTCGAACTCAAACCATGGTCAACCATGTGGAAGTCCAATGCCCTAACTGCTACACAGCCTGATGGCCCCTTGCCTGCAGTTACTAAATTCCATACTGATTTAAATATATGATCCATTAGTAATCCCAACTGTGACTCTCTGGAATAATCTTTTTAATATTTATGATATATGTGACATTAATCTGGTTATTTTTGTATGTATGTTTTCTCCCCTTTACTAACAAAAACTCCTGAATAGAAAGCAGGAAAAGTTATTCATATGTATTTGAAAAACTTACTAATACCAATAAGGCACTTTTGAAATTGAAAATATTTTATTCAGGGACCAGTGAGTAGGATGGTGGTTAAGGTACTGGATTCCCACTTGGGTGACTGCAGTTTAAGTCCCGGACCCATTGATGCTAGGCACGTGTGTATGTGTGCCCAAAATTCTGAGAAGAAAATGGAGGAGAGGGGATTTTGGTGTGGCCACCCATCCTGGGGATGATTTTTCACTCTCCTTCTTTCTCTCTGTCTCTCTCCACCAAGTGCATGCTCCCTACAGCAAAAACCTGAAACAAATATGTGTGTGTGTGTGTGTGTGTATAATTTAAAATTTGACCACATTGATAAACTATGAGTATACAGAAATGTGTAAGTATAGATGTGTATGAGAAACCTTTGGCAGCCTGGCTCATTGCTTCTTATAAGATAACCTAAGGCATAGACCATGAATTTTTTTCAAGTTTATTTTTTCTTTCATGAGTGAGTGACAGAAATAGAGAGAAACAGACAGAATGACAGAGCCAGAGACACCTTCGACAGGGTCCTGATGCGGAAATTCTCCCCCCAGCTCATCCAGCCCCACATCATGGGCCCATGCACATGCCTGGTTGACTCACAGAGGTTTCTAGGTGCAAACCTGGGAACATCCCATGTGGGCCAACCTCGTGGTATCACACTTTACTGCTGTGCTACAGATTTTGGAAGGATGGTATTAGCAGTGAGTACAAAGAAAAAAAAAACTTTAGATGAAATTTCCTAATTCACATGACGGCAGAGATGACACTTCAAAATTGTGAATGTTTTGCCCAAATCAGAAATTAGTCAGCAAATTCGAGAGACAAGGCCCTCAGAATAGAATCTGACTTTATTGCCATTAATAAAATCGGTATTCACATCTTACTTTTGTCAGTTTTTTAGAGCAGAAATACGTCCAATAACGTTCCCGGATTATCATTTAGATTACTGGGATGTTTTTCTTGTTCACCAAAATCATTTCAGTGATTTATATATTGCCATTTCTTCAATTTTGTTGTGACATATTCTGTGGCATATACCATGAACACTTGGGTACATGAATTTATATCTTTTTTCTCTCCTAAGGGTGAGTATAAGTTTTTCGAAAGACAAAAACTTTACTTCCTTGCAATGCTGACACAGCAAATACTTGATGAGCTTGGACTTGATTGATTTAATTTAGGGAGGAAGGGAAAAGTAGAAGAAAAACTATTTTTAGACAAGCTCCTTGTAACTGAATATTGCTGAGATCAGTACTGGTGGTTTCCTTTTTAGGCAGTCTCTTTAGTTTTCCCGAGTGTGTTCTGTGGCGTGCCTCACGATGTAGAACTGAAATATTCAGGAATAGGAGACAATTCATTGATTTATGTTCTTGTGCAACAACATGATTGAAAATTAGTGATGCTAGCCTATGTATGTGATGTCACTTTTTTAAAAGAGATTTTTGCTATAGGGCGCATGTGCTTGCTGGAGAGACAGATAGAAAGCGAGAAATCACCACCACCACCACCCCCCTCAGAGGATGGCCACACCACAATCCCACCTTCTCCATTCTCTTTTCAGGATATTGGGTGTGCCCACACACGCCCTGTTTGAGTTTTAAGCTGCAGGTCTGGAACTCAAACTGTGATTGACTATGTGGGAGTCCAGAGTGTAACCATTATGTCATCTGCTGGTCCCTACCAAGGTCACATTTTAAGCTACACAGCATTTGGAGATCTATTCACCATGACATTGTTTATGAACTAATCTTGAAGCTTTTGATGTGTTTTTCGTTTAGGAAGCAATGCATATTTGGACCGAACTGGGAGCACTAGCTCCTTGCAGAGGAGTTCCAAGAAAGAACAGGTCCCATCTGGAGCAGAGTTGGAGAGACAGCAAATCCTTCAAGAAATGAGGAAGAGAACATCTCTTCACAATGACAATAGCTGGATCCGACAGCGTAGTTCCAGTGTGAATAAAGAGCCTATCTGTCTGCCTGGGATCATGAGAAGGTACGAGGCACTTTAGGAATTACTTTCTCTTCTTCACTGTGAGGCAGATAGTTCATGTCTAGACATGCCAGTGCATGGAAGAGGAGATGTCGTCATAATTTCTACTCAACTTATCTGAGCTTGGATGAGAGAAAGTGAAGTAGGGAGCACCACAGAGCCCTGTTAGGTGTCAGAGAGGAGCCAGTCTCCATCATCTCATGTAATCTGGAGGAAGTGGATAGAGGTCAGGGTAGTAATTTTGTGTTTTCACATGAGGAAGCTGTGGCTTGATCAAGCAGAGAAGACACTCAGGCAAAATTAGATGGTTTATAGGTTGCAAATCTACATGTGGAATTTAAAATGAGAATCAGACAATAGTGCATGCTGCTCTCAGTGCTCTCTCAGCTGCTGAAGTTAAAACCAAAAGAAAAAAAAATGAAGTTTCCATTTGTTTACATTTTTAATGAGATAATGGTTAGATTAGAATTCATGATAGTAAGGTTTATGAAGTGTGAAAACCTAATTATTATAACCTAAGAGGGTAACTATGTAGATATAAATTGGAAATGAGTGGATGAACATTTTAAAAGAAACATCTTGGATAAACAACTACTGCAGCCACTCTGATTCATTATTTCCTTATCTGACAAACAGGAAAGTTCTTTGTAACACATTACCAAAGACTAATTATCTCAATATACAAATAGTTTTTTCTTCCCACAGCAGTAAACATACCCGAACAACTTTATTAAAAACAGAAAAAGAGCTATGTACAGATACTCATAGGAAAAAGAAACAAAAGGCAACTAAACCTATAAGACATCAACACTTCTCCTAAAATAACTATTAAATATTTCTTTTTCTTGTGACATGTGTAAAGGATTAAAAGAGTAATTAAACCTAGCATTAACAATTATATGAGGAAACAGAAATGCTTGTTTCAACTGGATGGGCAATTATTTCATCATGTGTTAATCCAAAGTATAGACCTTGTGAACAATTTGGTTTCCAGCACTTTATCTTCTGGATACTTTTTGCTAAGTATGCAAAGTTATATCCAAGGATATACAGTTAACATTATTGGCAATGGAAAATAAAGGAAATAGAAATAATCACAATGTCGCTATTAAGAGAGTACCTAGCAATTGTTCAATAAATACTGAGACACTGACAAGGTAGACTGCCATTCAATTCATAAAGAATGAAAAAGATATAACTGCATAATACACTATCTCAAAATTTAGTAGGTCAAAATAACAACTTACTATTGCTCACAGTTCTGATGGGTTGACTGTGTAGTTCTTTGCATGGTTTGACTGAGACACTGAGACAGTTGTAGCCATTTAGAGTATGCGTTGGGATTTGTGTGTGAGTGTGTGTGTGTATGTGAAGAACTAGATAATAAATAAACTTGAATTTGCAGGTTGTGTAGGTCTCTGTCATATAGTCATTGTTTTCTTTTTGTGACTCTTTGAAAATGTGAAAAATGGCGTTAGCTCATGAGCTGTACATATGAGCATTGGGCTATAATTCACTCACCCCGATGTAGAGGCTGCATTGGAACTCAGCTGAAGTAGTTGGTTAGGAGCCATTCTTCTGCATGTGGGTCTTTCCATAGAGCTGCTTGGCTGACTCATTGCATAGCACCTGTATTCAAAGAGGACTGTTTACAAAAGGACAGTCTGTAATGTACAGGTGCTTATCAGACTTCCACCTGCATTACATTTGCTAATGCCTCATTGACCAACTTAGTCACTTGTCTTGGTCAAGCCCAGAGTCACTAGGAGGTGACTACACAAGAGTGTGGATACCAGATGGTGTGATTCCCTCGGAGACACCAACGTACAGTTTATGACTTGAACAGACATGTGAGGATAGTTCTAAGGTAATACTCATTCAATGAAAAAAAGCAAGTTATTGAAGAATGTGTTGTAGAATAAGCTCATGTGTTCAAGAGTATCAGACACATCAACACATTACATATATATATAAACATGGCTAGACTTACATATGTAAATTTTCATATATAAATATGTGCTTGCCATAGGGAAGAAAAAGATCTGGAAGGACCCTTAGCTAATAGTGGTTACCTCTGAAGACTACAGCAGGGAAATTGTGGAGAGCAAAAGGCCTGATTCATCCCTCAGATGCTTTTTCATGCTGCTTGAGTCTTTCTCATCATGATGATGTGTTACTTTATAATGTCAAAATCAAAGCATATTTCAAATAGGATCAGTGATACTTTTGTTATAGCTTTTACAGTTTTGATCAAATAGAAAAAACCCTCATAATTTGAAGTTCATTTTTATAGATCAGTATGAATGGAAGTATACCACTTTAAGAGAGATTTTTTTCTAAATTGTATTAAAACAGTTGAGCTAAATCCTATTTTAAATTTTCAATGAAAAAAAAAGGAAGCTAGTATAATGTAGACATTAAGTATTATATAAATGTAGGGTTTGGGGTGGTGAGTGAGTGGGGTACTGGGAAAGGCCTGGCGTTATTTGGAATCCAAAGGACTTTGATTTGAAAGCCAGTTCCACCATCGACTGGCTCTTACTATTAATAAGTAAACCTCTATTCGATTTAACTAAAAACTTATGTAGTATTTTAATTACTTAAGTAATTGAGATTATGTAAGTTTAATATTTTGTGAAGAAGTCTGGCCTAATACCTGTCATATGTTAGAGCTTAAAAATATCTTTTTGAGTTTTTAAAAATGTTTTAAGATGGGTATATCTAAAACTGTTGGAGATTTTAAAAAGGAGAGTCTGTTTTCTTAGTTTCATCATCTCTCATTTTTAGAATTTTTTTCTTATTACTTTCTTCCCACTTTGGTTGGTTCTTATTCTTTCAACAAGGCACTAAATAAACAAAAATAAAAATAAAAATGATCGCCAATTGAAATGTGGACTGTCATGATGGCCCCTGATGATGAAGAGCTATATACTTTACTTGTTAGAGATACTTGTAACTGGACCTCTTAGCTTAATACCCACATACGAAAACTGTAAAACGGACATTTTAATGCCTATAAAGCTATATCTAATAGATTTCTAGTTGAATGTATTATCCTATTTTGATGAATCCTTCCTGTGTTTCAGAGGTGAATCTTTAGATAACTTGGACTCCCCAAGAGCCAGTTCTTGGAGACAGTCCCCTTGGGTCAATCAGCCCACAGGAGTCCGTGCTTCTTCCTCTGTACAAGACTTCAGTCGCCCGCCACCGCAGCTGGTGTCTACTTCGAACAGAGCGTACATGCGGAACCCCTCATCCAGCGTGGCCCCTCCTTCTACTGGCCCTATGAAGACCCCAGCCACAGGCTTATCCTCCACATGGTCCCCTGCCCCAAGCAGCCAGCCCACTGCAATGTCACAGTCAGGCTCTCTGCCACGCAACAGGTGAGGTCCCTCAGGTTTCCCTTCTCTTTTTTTAGTCCCCAGAGTATATTTCCATTAAAAGTTTGCCTAAATCTTGCCCAGGGTTTCCTATGAAAAATGAAAAACAAGCCCTTTTGGAAGGTGCTATGTCTACCACAAACACCAAACCTTTTTGGATGACTCAAATTCACTGTTCTTTTATGAAGTCAATTAAGAAGGCTTTCTTAATACCTTCCCATGCAACCCTTATGGTATTTATAGGTGTCTTGAGAAGTCTTTGGAGACCTGTAAGATGTCTGTGTTGCTACTGTCTCATTCGTCTGTGTTTGTGGTCAGCATCTCAGATATAAGACTTACTTGCATGACCCATGTAGAATCATAAAAATATGCAATAACTTGCAAATGCTTCCCAAAATTATAAGTAAAAGCAGTATTGTAAAATGTATGACTATTTTAATGATGCGGTAGTACAGTCTAGTCTCATAGGAACTGAGTTTAGAAAGAAGGCAATATTATCAAGTTCCCTATTGTGGGGGACTTTAACAAGCTGGATCAAAAAGATGTTAAGTAGATTGGAACTTGCTTTTTGGGGTTCTGATTGCCAGGATCAGTTTGCCTGCTATCTTGTTTGCCAATGTTTTGTTCAGGTTGACTCATCTGGATTCTGTAGGTAATGTTTATGGA